TGTTTGTTGTTGTTAAGTGCCTTCAAGTAGGTTCTGACTCATAGTGACCTTGTATGGGGTTTCCGAGGAGGCGTTGGTGAGCTTGAACTGCTGACTTCAGGGTTCAAACCGACTTTGCAGTCCAGCACATTAGCCCACAGCGCCACCCATGACTCTCTTATAGGGTTGTTGATTATTTGGCTGAAAGGTGAGCCTGGGGGAAGTGAAGCAGGGATTGTGGGGATGTGAGGGATGACTTCAGCTCCAGGTTTGAAGGGTGTGTTAGTTAAGGTTTTGTGTCAACTTGGCTGGCCAGGATTCTCAGTGGCTTAGCAGTTGTTAAGCGCTGTTGACTCCTGACTCATAGCAACCCTGTATAGGATTTTCCAAGAAGTGGCTGACGAGTTTGAACCACTGATCTTGTGGTTCAAACCAATCCCACAGCACCACACCAGGCTTAGCAGTTGTTATTAATTCCCCACAATGAGATTTAGTGTAATGCAGCCACTTTCCCCATAACGTGATCTGGTGAGATCAGCCCTGATCTGAAGGATTTTGTGTGTTGTAAATCCATGAAGTCCTGGTGTGGCATTGTGGGTTAACGCGATGGACTGCATAGTCCGTGTGAACCGCAAGGTCTGCGTTCAAACCCATCAGTCGCTCCTCAGAAACCCTTATACAGGGGCGTTATGAGTCAGGACCAACTCAAGCGCACTTAACAACAACTATGTTGATGAGGTCAGATGCAATCTACAGTGTTAGGCTGTATCTTTTGATTTTTTAATTTTTATTTAAACTTTTTATTGTGAATGGAATGAAGATTTACAGAGCAGATCATCAGTTTTACATTCGACAAATCACTTTGCTTCATTGGTGGTTATTGTGCTGTGGAGTCGGTTCCGACTCATAGCGACCCTGTACAGGGTTTCCGAGGCTGTAAATCTTTATGGGAACAGAAAGCCTCATCTTTCTCCCGCGGAACAGCTGGTAGTTTCGAACTGCTGACCTTAAGGTTCACAGCCCAATTTGTAACCATTATGCTACCAGAGCTCCTTTACATGGTTGCAATCCCCTCAATGTACCAACAGGTAACAGCACTGACCTCTATTCACTTAACCACAGCGTTCCTCCCTGTGTCTCCTACCACCCCCGCCTTTCCTCTGCCCACCTCCCTCCCATTGTATACTGCCTGTTCCATCACCCATGTCAACATGTGTCTACCCTCTAACACATGAATCATTTCCTCCTCCCCTCAAAACCATCATAGAGTGTTTCTTTTATCAAGAAACACGCCCCCCCCCCCAATTTTTTTTTTTCCCCTTTAATGTACAAAAACAAAACAAACCATGCAGGGATATATAGTTGTTTAAACAACCACAGGGCATATTCTGGAAGCCAGTCTCCTAGCCACCAGCTCACAGCCTTTCTCTTTCCATGAGTTTGGAGTCCTCAGCTGCTCAATCTCTCCACGTCCTCACTACGTTGTATCTTGAGACATAGAAGGAGAGAGTCGTGAACAGAGAATGAGAGACATACTGCCACCAAGAAAGAAGAGCCGGGATGGCGTGCTTCCTTTGGTCCTGGGGTCCCTACACTGTGAAGCTCCCAGATTCAGGGAAAGATTGATCCAAGACACAGGAGCTCTCCAAACAATGCTGGGCCTGCAGGTGCTGAAAAGAGACAGGGCCTTTCCCCAGAGCTGACATTCTGAGTTTGGACATCTACCCTCCTAAACTGTGAGAGAATACATTTGTTTGTTACAGGTTTGTTTGTTACCCCCTTTGTGGTATTTCTGTTACATTTGTTTGTTACAGGTTTGTTTGTTACCCCCTTTGTGGTATTTCTGTTACAGCTGCTCTGGAGAACTAGGGTGTCTAAGGGCTATAGTCTTGGGAGTTCCACCAGGTTCTGCCAGACTAGTAACTCTGGTCTTTATTATTTTGAGCTTTATTCCACCTTTTTCTCCCACTCTATTCAGAAGCTGCTGCCGATCCTTTTCAGAGCAATCAGCAGTGGTAACTGGGCACCATCTAGTTCTTCTGGTTGAATTTCATTACTTTTTTGTGTGGCTGAATAACATTCTGCTATGTCGATGATGCCATTGTGTTCATTCATCATCTGTTGATGGACATCTGGGTTGCTCCCACCTTTTGCTAGTTATGTATCAGGCTGCAATGAACTCGAGCATATATGTTGAGTTCTTGCTTTCATTTCCCTTGAGAACAGAATTGCTGGATCATATGATGAATCCTGGTGTGGCGCTGCAGGGTAATGTGTTGGACTGCAAGCTCAGTTTGAACCATAAGGTCGACAGTTCAAATCCACCAGCCACTCCTCAGAAACCCTACACAAGGTTGCTATAAGTTGGAACCAACTCAACAGTACTTACCAACAATAAATGGTGATTCTATGTTTAATTTTTTTGAGCAACTACCAAATTAATTTTTCATAGTCGCTGCACCATTTGGCATTCCCATTGGCAATAAACAAGGGTTCTGAATTCCCCACATCACACTGGTACTAATTTTCTGCTTTTTTGGATGGTTATCAGAGTGGGTGTGATGTACCACATCTTGCTTTTTCAGGAAAGGTTTGTAAAGCCTTGTCTACCAGGCTCTAAGTCCCTAAGACAAAGGAGCATTGCCCTGCCCTGCTAATGAGGAAACTTAGAGGGTCTACAACGAGATGCTTCATGGCGTTAGTTCTCTTGGTTTTAAGGTTCAGGGTCATGGCTTCATGGGGCTATCCAGCCAATATCCTAACCTTGCCTTTAGAGTTTCCAATCTACCTCCGAGTTCCATGACCAGAATCTTTAAAGCTTGCTAGAGGCCACCAAAGATGTAACTGGTCTCTACTCAACTGGAACGACACAGGAATGAGACCCAAAATTGGAGTAGAAAAAGGACTTGATTGGATCCAGCTCAAGGACCCAACAGATGGATACTCATCAAAACAAGGAAGAGCATGGAACAGAACTTCAAACTCATATGGAAACCAGATTTACTAGATCCTTGGAGTCTGGAGGAACCCCTGAAATCCACCAGTGCCTGGAAATAATCTTTAAACCTAGATCCAAACTATCCCATGAAGCCATCACTAAATAGTTTTGTCCAATGAATAAAAGAAGTTTGCCTCTTATAAAGAAGGACCTCTGTGGGCCTCATCTGATAGCAGTTTATCCACAGCAGACGAGCATTCTAAGGGGCAGAGAGTCTGTGTTAATGGAGATGAAACCCCATGAGTGGTGAGAACGATGACATCATTAAGTTTCTCACTAAGGTCACTGAGCCACTCCTGCCGAAACTGTGAATGGATGGATGTTTGGTTTTCTGTACTGACACCAGAGCAGTTAAACAAATACAATAAAAACAAGCATAGAGGGTCAGTCATTTTAGTTCACCAGTGGGCCCAGAGGTACCCCCAAATCCCCCGTCACTCTTGTGTCTTAAAGAGACCCTGGATTTGCTCAGCGGATTGAAAAGTCAAAAAGAACAATAAAGGTGACCCACATTTTTATAGGGGCTGGTGTTTTCTGCGGGCTGGGAAGAGGCCTGGATGAATCCCAACACTGTAAAAGGGTTGCTTGCTTCCTTCTCATTCTTGGTCTTCTTTGGTCTGCGCCTGATGGTGCAATGGGGTAAGCGCTGGGTTGCTAACCACGAGGCTGGTGATTCGAACCCACCAGCCATTTTGTGGGGGGGAAAGACGGGCCTTGGAAACCCTATGGGGCAGTTCCACTCTACCCTCCAAGGTCACGGTGAGTCAGAATTGACCAAGGGCAGCGGGTAGCTGTTAGCTTTGCAGTCTTTCTTCCTAATGCTTCCTTTTTTGTGTCCCCCACCAAAAGGTAAGTGTAAAATCGTCACCCTCACGAAGTATAACTGTGTTTGGAAATAGGGTTTTGGAAGATGTTATCCGTTAACATAGGGTCCTATTCAAGTAGGGTGGATCCTAACGCCATCTGAGTGATGTTTTATGAAAGAGAAAAGAGAGAGAGTGATAGGCATTGAGGATTACGGCTGCATCTACAAACCCAGAGAGAGCGAGGACCACCAGCCGTCACCAGAAGCTGAGAGAGAGGCCTGGGGCCTTCTCCCCGAGACTCTGCAGAAAGAATCAGGCTGACACCCTGTGAGGAGACCCACTCCCAATCTCCAGACCGTAACCAGGATCAGCTGCCGTGGCGCCAACTGCAACTCGTAGCCACCCCAGGTGCACCAGAGTAGACCTGTGCCTCATAGAGGTTTCAATGGCTGATTTTTGGGAAGTCAATTGCCAGGCATTTCTTCCAAGGCTCCTCTGGGTCGGATCAAACCACTCACATCTCGGTTAGTAACTGAGTACTTCTTAACCATTTGCACCACCGAGGTTCCCTCCAGAACTCAGAACACATATCTGTTCTTACAAGCTATCTGGTTTGCAGCACTTTCTTACAGTAGCCCTAGACTGCCATTCCCACTCCTCACCACCTCATACATCAAACACATTCTCAGCTGCAGGTACAATTTATTAAGGCGACACTGTAAGTAAGCATCAAGGCACTGGGATACCATTCCGGAAAGGCTGGGCCTCACCTCCTTCCGCTCCAGAATGTGTCTTAGCAGATTCACTGTTCCCCCCACCCTCCCACCCCCAGGAGGCCCACTTCTCACATGGAAAAGTCTAAGTCCCATTCACTTCAGGCTAAAACCTGGGGGTCCAGATGGGGGAAAGGAAGCAGAGGTTAAGAATCACATGGCTCATTTTTTCAAAATAAAATGGTGGGCGATCAGGTAGGTACCTGGAAATCCTACCCTAATGACGGTTGGAGGGGGAGGCTCAGAATATTCTTCTTCAAAGCTCAGAGAGGGAGATGGGGAAGAAGTGGGGTTAAGCCTCAGCTCTGAGAACCGCAGCCCCTATGTTAGAAGCTGGGACTAGAGGTTAGAAAAGTGGGGTCCCAATGAACCAATGGGTGGTAAAATGGGGTGCTGGCTGTAGCACCCCTGGGATGGACGGAGCCCCCAGTCCCCCTCCTCTCTCTATTTCTTCTCTTCTGGAGCTTTCTCAGTGATCCCGGGGCTGAAGGGTCCCACCAGCCACGTGATGGGAGTGTTCTGGGCCACGTATTCCACCATTTCGTCCAGGGCTTCACGAGCTTTGCTGACCCGCTCCCGGCTTTGGGTCAGGATGGTGCTGGACAGGTCCTGGAAGGAGTGGACACCCGAGAAGGTTGCCTGGAGGTCTTCCACCTGGCGCCGGGCCTGCTGGGCCTTATCCTTGATGTTGGCAGGAAGGCCCTGGAGATTGGACGCTAGGGAGACGCAGGTGGTCTGCAGTTGCTGGGCAGTCTCCCGGAACATGGTGAGTGCCTGGGACTCGACCTGCTGGGGTGGAAGCGGAGGTGGTGGTGGGGCAGTCAGAACCATTGGGCTTGGGACCACTGGACCAGAAGCTGAGGAAAAGTAAATGGGGTTCTGGAGCTGACTTTGGGGCAAATCTTTCCAAAGGCACGCTGGTCCAAATGGGGTTTAATAGCACCAGCTCTTTCCTCATCCATTGGTGGTGGGACTGTAAAATGTACATGCACTGTGGGCAACAGTGGTGCTTCTCTAAAGAGCTACGTGAAGGATTATCATGTGACCCAGAAATCCTGCTCTTAGGCACAGACCCAAATGAATTAAAAGCAAGGACTCAAACCGAGACTTGTACCCTCACTATTGACAATAACCAAAAGGTGGACGGAATCCTGGGATGTTGCTGTACGATCTGCACTGGACTGCAAGGTCAGTTTGAACCACAAGGTCAGCCATTCAAACCTACCAGCTGCTCCTCAGAAACCCTACACAGCATTACTGTAAGTCGGAACCAAGTGGATGGCACTTAACAACAGAAACATCCTAAAAGCCCATCAACAGATGAATGGGTAACCAAAATCGACATACTCCACAAGGGGGCTTCAAAACGTTCATGGGAAAATGGAATGAATAGATGATGGAATTTTTCGGATTGTACTGAAGTTCCTTCATATCACAGGATATTGTTGTTGTGAAATGCCTGTGTAGGGTTTCCGAGGAGCAGCTGGTGAGTTTGAAGTACTGACCTTGTGGTTCGCAGTCCAATGCTAATCCTATAACATCACACCAAAAGTCTTACTTGGTGAGATATTAAGTTGGGTTGCACACTACAACATGGATAAACCTTGGAAACCTTATGTGCTGCTGTTCCAGTTGTGATGCAGTGAATAATTTAATGTCTCTTCTAGCCATAAACTCAGAAACCCCAAGCTCACTGCTACTGAATCAGTTCTGACCCTGTACAGGGTTTCTGAGGCTGTAAATCTTTGTGGGAGAAGAGAGCTTCATCTTTCTCCTGCAGAGCAGGTGATGGGTTTGAACTGCTGATCTTGCAGTTGTTGTTAAGTGCCATCGAGTCAGTTCTTGTAGTTAGCAGTCCTTTATTTATCCAACAGTGCCACACCAGTTCTGTAGGGTAAGTAACAGACTGCTAACCACAAGGTCAAATGGTTCAGGCCCACCAATCCTTGAGTGGGAAAAAGATGAGGCTTTTTGCTCTTGATAAGACTGACAGCCTCGGACACCCTATATGGGTTGATATGAGTTGGAACCAACTCGACTTACGACCACCACCACCAGTTCTAGCCATAGTTTGATAAATTTCCACTAAGTGACTTTTTCCTGATGGTCCTGGATAAGAGAAGATGGAGGAGATGCTTTTAAGATGATATGGTTTAGCTGTGATGGTTAACAGTGTTAACTGTGAAAACTTGCAACTATAATGTAATGTGGGTATGTTGTATGAAGCGCCTTTGAGTCGGTTCTGACCCATAGCGGCTCTGTATAGGTATTCCGAGGAGCAGCTGGTGAGCTTGAACTGCTGACCTTGCAGATCAGACCAACTTTGCAGTCCAGCTCATTAATCCACTGCACCATACCAGGGCTGGGTATAACATGAGCCATCTCAGAAGCAGGACGGGGGCATTTCACTACCATTAAGGAAGAAGAGCCCAGAGTGGAGTGTGCTCTTTGCATTCACGGATATCTGCACATTGAACCTCCTTGACCCAAAGACATAAAGCTGGGCCACCGGAGGAACAACAGTAGCAGAACCAAGAACCAGAGCACGAGACAGAGCTTCCTGGCCCACGGAGCTAGTGAAGCTGAGTGACTCTGGGCAGGAGGCTTGCTTGCCCAGTGGGGTGTCTCCAGGCACTTAAGTGGGGGCTAGGTTCACTGACCCCCAGAGGTAGAGTCTAGGGCCTTTAGGCTGAGGCTTATGGTGGAGTGGTGTGCCCTGTGGGCATTGAGAAGCTGCCCTAAAAGCTCTGAAGTTACTGGAGAAGGAGATCATGTTTGGTAAGGTGGAGGGTCAGAGAAAAAGAGGAAGACCCCCAGCGAGATGGATTGGCCAAGTGGCAGCATCCATGGGCTCAAGCGTGGCAACAATAGTGAGGTTGACCCGGGATCAGGCAGTGTTTCGTTCTGTTGTGCATAAGGTCACTATGGGTCGGTACCGACTTGTTGGCACCTAACAACAACAACAACAACAGCAGTTTGTACCACTGCTGGAGCCGGGCAGAGGCCAAGGGCCCGAGAGAGGCCTGCCTGTGGGCACAGCTGATGAAAGGAACTGTGCCCCTGAGTATTGCTGAACCTGAATTGCAAACATATTAACTTCTCTAATAAAGCCCACACTGTGACTATGGCGTCCAAGCTGTGTGTGGTCACTGTAACGTATTATCAAACCCAGATTAGAAGTAGAGAGAGCGGGGACAGGAATGGCTCCTGCAATTCTTTTTTCTCACACCACTCAACTCCGAGTCACAGTGTTCCCTGTGTGCAGAGGAGAAATACGCCCCATCGGGCTTTCCAAAGTGCCTCTGGGTGGGTTTGAACCACCAGCCTTTTGGTGAATAGTCAAGTGTCATCCAGGAACTCCCTGGAAACATGCTGAGTGAAATAAGTCACAAGAGACAAACATTGTGTGATCCCACTTAGATGACATACTTTGTTGTTGTTGTTAAGTGCTGTCGAGTCAGTTCCGACCCATAGCGACCCTGTACAGGGTTTCGGAGGGTGTAAATCCTTACGGGAGTAGAAAGCCTCAGCTTTCTCCCGCGGAGCGGCTGGTAGTTTCGAACCGCTGACTTTCAGATTCACAGCCCGATTCGTAACCACTACGCTACCAGAGCTCGTTAGATGACATACTTAGAATATATTAAAGTCTGTGTGTGGTCAGCAGAGGCAGACAGGCAGGATGGGGGAAACAGGACAACTGTCTAGTGAAGCCTGGGCTTTCTTCTGTTAAGGATGATGGGAAAATGTGGGTGATGTTTGAGCAATATGATGGACGTATCAAACGTCACTGAAATGTACATGTGAAGATTGTTGAAATGGCAAACCTAGAAGGCTATATATATGTATGAGGGAGCACAATGGCTCTGTACGGTAGCCACAAGGTTGGTGGCTCAAGCCCACCAGTTGCTCCACAGGAGAAAGATGAGGCTTTCTGTTTCCACAAAGATTTAAAGGCTCAGAAACCCTATGTGAAGTTTCTATGAGCCTGAAGTGACTCAAAGGCACTTAACAACAACAACAATATATATATGTGACCTGGTGTGGTGCTGTAGGATAAACACTGGACTGCTAACTGCAAGGTAGGCAACTCAAACCCTCCTCCTCAGAAACCCTATACAGTGTCACTGTGTGTTGGAACTGACTTAATTACACTAACAACATGGAGAGGCTCTTAGCTGCTAACCAAAGAGTTGGTGTTGTGGACTCCTGATGTGGCGCTGTAGGATCAGCACTGGACTGTGAACCACAAGATCAGCAGTTCAAACCCACCAGCTGTTCTTTGAAAACCCTATACAGAGTCTTTGAAAACCCTATATAGGGTCGCTGTGAGTGGGAACCTAGTCGACAGCACTTAACAACAACAAAAATATGTATTTGCCACAGTGTGGGGAAATGAAAGAATACAGGGTTCTTTGCTCTCTGAACCTGTATGTAGTCTCATATACTGGTGAAACTTGAAACCAGATAAAACTGCTACTGGTAAACCAAATGTGGTCCATCCATACAGGGAATGGTCTAAGCTGCGACACAGAAAGCTAAACTTGAGTAGTGTGTGATCCCACTTATAGGAACTATCTAGAACAGGAAAACGCATAGAAACAGAGAGTAGATTAGGGTTTGCACATGGCAAAGTACTCGGCTGCTAATCAAAAAGTTGGTTTCAGACCCAACTGGCGGCTCCAAGGCAGAAAGACCTAGCAATGCTTCTCTGTGACAGGGATTACTGTGCGTCACCAAGGATTCTATGGCCCCTAACAAGAACCCAGGAGTTGGGGAAACGGAAGAATGAGGGGAGACAGTGAATGGACATGGGGTGTCATTAAAATGCCCCCAATGAACTGTGAACACATAGCCCCATGGAGAAACAAAAATCGATGAATTCTACACGTCCACGAGGTGAGCTGGAAAACACTCCGAGTATGTCTCAGTAAGCCAAGTGTCTAAGGATGGAAGGAGGACAAAGGAGGGAGGGGAAAAAGAGACGCACCAGTCTAATGGCGCAGTGGTTAAACGCTCAGCTGTCAACCAAAAAGTCATCAGTTCAAACCCACCAGCTGCTCCTTAGGAGAAAGATGTGGCCACCAATCTGCTTCTGTAAAGAAGCTATGAATCGGCA